TTCTCGTTCTATATGTCGATGACATATTACTCATAGGGAACGACATCCCGACTCTGCAGGAGGTCAAGTCCTGGCTCGGGAAGTGTTTCGCTATGAAGGACCTCGGAGAGGCTTCTTACATTTTGGGAATAAGGATAGTAAGAGAAAGAAGTAAGAGACTAATTGGACTTAGTCAGAATACTTACTTAGAGAAGGTACTAAAACGTTTTAGTATGGAAAACTCAAAGAAGGGAGAACTACCGATACAAGGAAATGCCAAGTTGAGTAAGACTCAAAGTCCGAGTACCGAAGCTGAGATAGCAGAAATGAGCCGAGTACCATACGCTTCCGCAGTTGGCTCAATCATGTACGCTATGACTTGTACTCGCCCTGATGTAGCCTTCGCTTTGAGCATGGTTAGCAGATATCAAGGGAACCCTGGCAAAGCACATTGGATTGCGGTGAAGAACATCCTTAAGTACCTTCGGAGGACGAAAGAATGGTTCTTAGTCCTTGGAGGGAGTGATGACTTGAAGGTGCGAGGGTATAGTGACGCCAGCTTTCAGACCGACAGGGACAACTACCGTTCGCAGTCGGGCTGGGTCTTTACCCTAAATGGAGGAGCAGTGACATGGAAAAGTTCCAAGCAGGAAACCGTAGCTGATTCAACGTGCGAATCAGAGTACATCGCAGCGAGCGAAGCGTCGAAGGAGGCAATATGGCTAAAGAACTTCATTGGTGATCTTGGAGTTGTGCCGGCCATAAAGGAGCCCATGGAGATTTTCTGTGATAACGAAGGTGCGGTTGCCTTGACCAAGGAACCGAGGGATCATGGTAGATCTCGACATATCGACAGAAAATATCACTTCATTAGACATCGTGTAGAAGAAGGACAACTCGTAGTGAAGAGGATATCATCAGAAGATAACCCAGCAGATCCGCTTACGAAGGGACTGAGTAGGGTTAAGCACTTGCAGCATGCTAGGAGTATTGGGCTGAAGGATGATATTAGTATAGATTAGATAGTATTAGAAACGTATAATAGATAAATGTAATTAACATTTGATGATTAAATAAAGGAGTTTTATTTATGAGTAAAGTTACTGTCACATGTTAATTGTTTAACTATTGTTTCACTTTGCATGTTTTGACTTCCAGAATAATTGAGTTTATTAGGAATAATCGAATTATTCAAATGGTCCACAATCGTTCATATGTTGGGAGTAGATATGAATGAAGATTGTCATGAATTGGTGTGTAGAATGTCTAAATGGTGTTAGACATAGCAAGGGTTGCTGCAACGTTCATGAGTGCTTATGAACTGGTTTTGAGCATTGGAATAAACCCGCGCTTGCTGGAATCACTTTATGGAATACGATATAAAAGGTGATCGCAAGACGATAATATCATATAGTCTTAAAACCTAGATATATGGTTTATTATTTGTTAATTGATTGTGCATTGATAATGCGAAAACGCATCAGTAACTTGGTGTTATAAAACGCATTGTTGTGTATAGTTGGTTAATGAATAAGTAAATGCATATAAGTCGAAGTTTATCTGTAAATTTTATCCTAAGAGGGTAGAAGAGATATCTTGGCCACTCGATGATTTGATTTGACTTATGTGCCGGGCCCGGTCAGAACTGAATTGATGTGTTTGATTAAGTTCTATGTCAAATAAATCGGAGATCGAGAAATCTAAATGCTTGACTAACCATTCCATAGGATTGTCAGCATGATATCTAACAGAGGACTGTAGATCCCTTATCTAAAGGACAAGATTGATTAGATCAGAGTTGACAGCGTCTTTGAGAGCTACGATTGCAAACCGAATTGTACTTGTATAGTTACTAGACTTATCCAAGTGGGAGACTGTTGGAATAGTGTCTAAGGCTGCAACTATATTAGGCAAGTATTTGATCCGGTTGTGCATGGTCCTTTTGGGTTGCCTTCACCATAGCAACTTGATGGATGATTTGTTAAAGAGAGTAAATATTATAAGGAATAATATATGGCTATTTGATTAATATAAGTCATAGATTAATTGGAATTAATTTGGTGACTTAAAGAGATTAATTAAATAAGAGGGTATAAACTGTCAATTGGTTGATAGTTACACTTTAGACTATGAATCCTTATCCTAGATAGGATGGACGATTTCTAGGGCTTGGATAAGCCAAAATCGTCCATAGGGTTATCTATGGAATGGATTTGGATAGCCTTAAGAGAAGATTATCCAATTAGGGTTTAGGTTGTAACCCCTTAAGGAGTCTACAAGTATAAATAGACCCTAGGGGTGAGGGAATTCGACACACCATCTAAAGTAGAGATACTCTGGCCAAATTCCTCCCCTCTCCTCTCTCCTAAATCATCTTGCTTGCTATTGGTGTTTGTAAGCCATTAGAGGAGTGATATGTGTGACTCTAGAAGCTCCAAGACAACAAGATCAACAAGGAATCCAAAGGTATGATTCTAGATCTATTTTAATGTTGTTATTTAACCTAATTAGCTATTAGAAGTCTTGGATTCAAAGCATGTTTAATTAGAAAGCCTAGATCCAAGCATTAGGGTTTTGCATACGCACATAGGAAAGTTCTTATGGCTAAAACCCATCATATCCATGTCGTAGATAATAGACTTTGGTACCCCATGCAACTGCACGATTTCCTTGATGTATGTCTTGGTCAGCTTTTCCATTTTGTTGGTTTCCTTTATTGATAGGAAGTGTGCAGATTTGGCAAGCCTGTCAACAATTACCCAAATGGTATTGAGACCACCCGTTGTCTTGGAAAGTTAGGTTATAAAGTCCATCGTTATCAGCTCCCACTTCCACTCGGGTATTTCCAGTTGTTGCAACAGACCCTGGGGGCATTTGGTATTCTACCTTGACCTTGGAGCAAGTCAGGCACTTGCTCACGAAGGTAGCAATTTCGACTTTCATGTTCGGCCACCAATAAAGTTTCTTGAGATCCAGATACATCTTGTCTGAACCGGGATGACCGGAATACTGAGTTTTGTGTGCTTCGCTTACGAAGGTAGCAATTTCTGCTTTCATTGGACGTTGTAGTAATAATTGTAGACACCTATCACCCACTTCGATTGATCAGTCGACGGTTGTAGCTAGCAACAGCAGGTGGGGATGTCAACTCCGTATAGATCTATGTATATGTATCTTGCTCCGAAGATTAACAGTTACAATAGTGTGAGTATTCTAAGTGTTTAAAATCAGCTAATGAATAACGTCTCACTAAAAATCCCTTAACTAAGAAGTTTGTTAATAACTCTCAACCCTAACATAATTGTGATTAAGTCACTAGGGATAATAAATAACATTGTATAAAGTTTATAAAAGCCAAGTATGTTTGACATGTATGTAAAATGAAAGACCCCAACTTTCATATTTTTGAAAGACCCAAACTTTCATACTTCACAATATTATTACTCCAAAACATGCAACTTGCATATTCATAAAAGAAATATTTTACATTGATAAAAGGATTACAAACTACTGGATACAAACCGACTATTACAAAGTGTCATATATTACATAACTACCCAGGATATTGTAATTTATACAAACATAAACTGAAGTACAAAAGTACTATTACAAACTATTCAAAATCCTTCAACAGTATGTGATCATAATAGTTACTATCACCTGTAATTGTTAAACATTGATGGGGTAAGCGGTGACGCTTAGTGAGTTCAATAATAGATACAATATAACGTTATGTCATATATATATTTCAATGTGGAAAAAGCAAAGAGGAACAACAAGACATATGTGAAATCATGTGACAAGCGTTCATATCAATCAAAGACTTTATTCAAAGATATACTTTTCAATGCTTGATATACATCAATAAAACTTTGGCCCAAATGGCATAGAAGACATGTAATTTCTGATTAACATCTTGTTAGATTTCAGGCTTATAGTCATGTCTAACCATTTTCCATTGCCATAGAATAAAAGTCATTCTCTTACGGAGACATCCTCTACATGGCCAGAGGCTACGTACTAGTACCAATGTGAATCTAAGTCCTTTCACTGATCACATGGTCAAAGGTATTACATTTGCTATAAACATAGCGAATAAAATAACACGGGAAAACAACTCAGAATAATAACACTGAAAAACACATAGCTCATATAACAAATAATATACAATTTTTCCTATATATGTAGTACCCCCCCCCCCCCCCCCGCCCGTCCCCTCCCGAAGTAATTACAACATTAAAAAGGAGCCGTAAGCACTCACCCTTGAAGCATAAGTTTGAGTTGTTTGGATTCAATTTGTTTGAGAAGTTTGGCGTGAGAAACCGCAAAGTCACGATTCTTGAACATTAAAATATTTTTAGGATCATTTCGTAAAGTATTTAAACTATTGGGGGCTGTTGGGTAGTTTAATTAACCAAAAATAAGACTGGTTTGGTTAAAAAATGGGTTTAATGTGTAAGTTTTGGACTGGTATTGCTGAAATCTCAATGGGAGGGGCTGTTTTGAATAAATAGAATCAAAGTTTGGGGTTTGGGACTGATTTTGAATAAAGGTTTTAAGAATGGGGTTAGTTTGGTCATTTCACAAACTAAATGAAATTAGGGCTTTTACACCCTGTTCCCGAGTTCATTTAAAGGAAAGAAAAGAAGAGAAGAGAAATGTGGAGAGAAAAGAAAAGAATGGAAAGGAAAGTAAAGTGTATTTTTGTGTTCCCGAGTTCGAGAGAAAGGAAAGGAAAATTATTTTTCTTTGTGTTCCCGAGTTGGAAGGAAAAGAAATGAAAACTAAAAATGGACAATTATACCCTTGTCACCTTTTTTCTATAATTCCAAATAGATAATTTCAATAAACCCAAACCAAAAATAACATACATGTATTAATAATCAAACACATTCATAAGTAACCAATTTAAAGTCAATGCAAGAATAATCAAACGAGTTCCAATGTATGAGCTCAAACCAAAAACCAAAAACTATGAAGTCAAACTGATAAAAAATCACAAAACCATCATCCTAAGTACTTCATTTACTTGCCTCCATCATTTTTTTCAGCAAACTTTTTCGTATTTTAAATGGAACTCTAAATAATGTCCCGGCATCAGATTGATTTCGTGACAAAAACATGAGAGCTTCCGCTAATTCATCGGGTTCCAAATCCATTGGCTCTAACTCTTTATAAATTTCATCACCAGTATAAACCCGATGATGAGAGTTTTCGAAGATTTTGTTACCCTCCCTCATAGCAAAAGCCACGTCTTTAACTGCACTCATAATAACCTTTTCAAATGATTCAGGTTCAGCTTCAAGTTCATCTTCAACTTCAATTTCATGTTTCCTTTTTTTACTTTTGTACTTCTTAGAACTTGAATTTTGCACCGGTGAAAAGCATGTAGGAGATAACACTTGAATATCATCAAGACCATCATCATCATCATAATCTTCATTATTTGTTTGTTGTTTCTCAAGTGTTATGTCATTGCTTGCTAGTAACTGATCCACTTCTTCAATTGTTTCTACTTTGATATCCCCAGTCCTTTTCAATCGAGCATTCTTCTCTTTCGGGGTTTCAGCATGTACCCCTGAAGCCCTGTCTTTCGCAAACAAAGCTATCATTTCATTGTAGTTTGGTATTTTTTTGGTCTTCAATGAAATTGCATCTGGCTTTGACTGTAACACACAATCCCAAATACAAATATTGTTAAGAAAAATAACATAAATGTATACAAACTAAGTAACATGCAATAAAAGAAACTTACATTAATTAAGTTGGCCCACACTTCCTCGTCCCCTTCAATTAGTTGTGTTTCAGAATTCCAACCGAACCCACTCAATGAAGTTCCGCGGAACATGTCATACCACTGCGAGAAACCTGATTTTAAAGTTTTCAAACGATTCTTTAAATGATTTTTTGTTAACGTCTTCCCAAACTTTTGATTAAGCTCCTCCACCATGTTGTTGTACGCTTGTGGGATGAAGCTCCCACTAATCCTTAATCCTTTCTCATCTTGTGTCATCATAGATTGAATAAAACAATAATCCATCCAATCTGTCCATTTAAGTTGTTCTTTCTTTGTAACTTGTTCTTCCTTCATCATTTTGACCTGCATAACATCATAAATAAACAAATCATGCATTGATAACATAATAAATACATACTTCGATGATGTACAAATAATGAGTAAATAACATGCTCAAAAATATAAATAACACAAATAAAGTCAAAACACTAACAATTCATACAAAATCAAGTCAAACATAAAAGCTCCATACAAAATCAAATTGAAATGCTTTAATAAAAACTAGTAGCTACATTGACATATCTATCTCATGGTTTCAATTTGGCAAGTAATCAGTCCACATTTGATTTGCAATTAAGTTCCTCATTTTCTCTGCTGCAGCATTACCCTCACTTGTGTCTCTTATATTATGGCGCATTTCCTCTCTTGGTTCATTTAACATCTCCCGTAGGACCTCATCTTCCAGATTTTTGTCTCGATCTTCTTCTAACAAAAAGTTATGTAAAATACAACATGCCAAGAAAATGTCTGATTGTGTTTCACAAGAATAAAAAGGCTCTTGTGTACTTCTAATGATAGGAAACCTTCTCTTTAGAACATCGAATGCACGTTCTATAGCGTTACGTAATGAAGCATGGCGGAGATTAAACAACTCTTTTGCATTCTCAGGGGCCCGAGCAGAATACTCTTTCAAATGATATCTGACACCACGATATGGTGCCATTAGTGTAGTTGTATGAGGCAAACCAGCATCTACCAAATAGTATCGTCCTACAAATAAGTTGTAGTTAGTTATGTATTAAAAATTAGATTACATGTAAGAGTAATTTTGGTATTAAAAACTAACCATTTGGAATTACTAGTTTATCTTCTCTAGTGAGTGCATTCTTTAGTATCCTTGAGTCTGATGCTGTACCCTCCCAGCCACTCAAAATGTACGTAAACTTTAAATCAAACGTACAAGCAGCTAAGACATTTATCGTAGGGTAGCCCTTGCGACCACGATATCTAGGGGCATCTTTGTTAGGTACTTTCACACGAACATGTGTCCCGTCAATTGCACCTACACAGTTCTTGAAGTAAGGATAAAATCGTTTTTTTTCTTGAATTTCTTTTTGTACAACATCACCTTTTGGTTGTTGAATATAATGACTTTCCAGTGATATAATTGCTCGGAGAACTCTGTGGAAGCACCTACTTGTACTTGACTTAGAGCGACGATATAGCCAAGAGACAAATCGATTTCTAAAATCATTGCCGACAATGTGCAAAAATCTTGCAACATGTTCTTCAACGGACATGCGTTGAGTAGCTCGAAGACCACCAACTAGTTGTAAGATAGTGTACAATTTCTTAAAAGCCTGCTCACTCATACGGATAAGTTCACGACATTGACCACCGTTTGAAAGGTCGTGTAGCAATTGTTCACGTATACGTCGCCGTTTTAAAATAAGTTTCCTAGAAGGTAATTTGGGACGATTTGTGTTGGCAACGGCACGATGTGTCAGAATGGCCAACAACAAGCAAATCAGATGAACTACTTGCCTTTGCCTGACTCTCAGAAATTGGGCGGGTGTTTGTAGGTCACTATCCATCGAAGATATTACCTAATTTATGAAAATTATTAAACTTTGAGTTTTCTTTTATAGGTTAGAGAGATATTTAACAACTACGGTTGGTTAAGGAGCCTATGACTTGAATTTTAGTATTTATTGCAGTAAAGTAGTTTTAAAATTGTGATAGTTAACTCTATATCTAAATAGAGTTACAAAACCATTATAGGACAACATAAGAACATCATCCAATTTCATTTTACTATTTAAAAGCAAATAAATTAAATACCAAACAATCTTTTGACTACATTAGACAATGTACATCATGAGGCCAAACAATAGAGCAAAGCAATCTTCTTCAAACTTGTACATCATGGGATTCGTTGTTTGAACCTCTCCATAGCTATATATCTTGCTACATGGTGATCATATCAAAGGATATATATGTAATTTTACTATTGGCTAGTATATTATGTATGTATATGTTCTAAGTTTTAGTTAACAAATAAAGCCAATTCTTTTTGGGTTTTAAGTGACATTTTTCTGAGTATTACTGTGGTTTTATGCTAAAATTTACCATAACTATAAAGAAATACATAAATTTGACGATCTGGAAAACTGAATGATAGTATTAGATAAAAAAAAGTGTTGATTTTGATCAGAAATATCAACATATTATGTGGTTCCTCTGTTTGATTTAAAGGCTTTTAATTTTGACTTAACACATAAAATAAAATGGGGAAGATGATGGCAGATAAGAATCATAATAATAATCATACAAAAGAAATCGATGAAGATACTGTGTTCTGAATAATGATATCATTTATAAGAAACATAAAGAAGATATCAAAAAAAAAATGAACCTGATGTTGGAAGTGAACAACTCAACAGAACGTGAAGAAGGAGGAAAAAGCACTGTATACGTGAAGGAGGAAGAAGGAGGAAGAAGCGTGAAGAAGGAGGAAGCACTGTAGCAACTTTTTCGTTTCCTGCGTGTTGCTGCTGTATACGTGATTTTATAGGGTTCGAGGGTAATATGGTAATCACGGGATTTTGTATGTATCACTGATTCTCTTCTCTCCAAATCTCTCCAATTTGGGAGGAAGATTATGAGAGAAAACAAACCTCCGATTTCCTTTCCTTTCTTCCCAATTCACTCCAAAAATTGAACTCGGGAACGCAACTAAATCTGTCTTTCTCTCCAATTCCGTTCTTTTCTCTCGACTTCCCTTGTAAATTGCAACTCGGGAACAGGGTGTTAATTCCCGTTCCTTTGTTGTTGATCGGGCAATCAGAGGGGAACGTGAACAGTCGAAGCTTATGAACATAGCGAGAGAGAAAGTCGAAGGCTTCGCAGGAGGCACCTTGACTCGTCGAGCGATTGAGAGGTGGAGTCCGTCTCTGAGGTTTGACGAGGCCGAAGGCGGAGGAAAGGGGAGGACCTCTGGGTTTTGGCTAGACCGAAGGAAGAAGAACGAAGCAGTAAACACCTTCGGTGTTTGAATGGTCCGAAAGAAAGGGAAGAGGCAGCGAGAGTTGCCGTCGACCTCAGTGGTGCAGCGAGGGTGTGAAAGGGAGGTGATCAGAAGAGGGATTCGGGAGGAAGTAGGCGGCAACGACATTTCAGGTGGGAACGATTTGGCAGCAAGGATTGACGGAAGGAAAAGAAATGTTCGAGGATAGATTGTTCGGTGATTGGAGGTCAAACGCAGAAGGTATGTTCGTTCTTTTTTTTTTTCTTTTTTGTTTTTTTTAGGTTTTGATGTTTTGCTGTGATCGGTAGAACCCAAATGCGTGTTTGGTTTTGATTCATTTGACAGGAAAAGGAACACCAAAATAAAAGGCTACTGCCTTCTTGGTATTGCTAAAACAGAGAACACACCTCAATGGTGTGTTTAGGGCAGTAGAACGAAGAAGAAGAAAGAAATACATGAAAGGTTTTTTTTTCCAGGTTTGATTTTATTTGGGTAGAAATCGAATGTGTGTTTGGTTGGATCGTTTGACAGGAAATGAATGAAGATAATCAGTTGAGGAAAAGGGTGTCTGAGATGTGTGTTTGTTGTTTGAAATTGAAGTGTAAACAAGATGAAGCAATAACAATGTGTTGTTGTATTTCTTGTTTGCAGGTATACACAAAATCAAGAACAAGAATGTTATTATGTTCTTGGCTGCATGATGATTTGAAGAAGAGAAGGACGTGAGGGTTGTTCATAGACAGCCTCAACTAAGAGAGGGAAAAGGGAAACACGTGTTCTTTTCCTTTGAGCGTGTTATGTTACAAAGCAAATGTTAGAAGTAATTTGGCTGTCATATTTTATCGAGTATTTAATGGTAGATATAGTATAACCCGTGGGAACCTCGGTTATAAAATTAATCAAACTTTTTTATAATAAAAACTCAAAATTATTAATAAGTTATTTTAAATAAATTATTAATTTAAGATATATTTTTATTAGTTATGTGAAATTATAGTCATTGATTCAAATAAATATATAAAATTATTTTTTAATATATATTAGATATTTTTAAATTGTGAGTTAGTGAAAACAATAATTCAAAATTTAAAATTTAAAATAGAATCACATTAATAAGGATGTCTAGTAAATTTAAAATAACTAATAGATTGCAAGTGAATCTAGAGAAGGGGTTTGGCCATGCTGAGCAGGCATTTCTTCCTCATTGGTCTCATTGGGTGGGTTATAGTTGTGATTAAAAGGAGGGGGCACATTGTGATACCCTAGACCTTTGGTTTGATTATCTTTAAAACTCAATTGATTTTCTACTAAAGACTCGACTGTCTTACTTGATGCAGTATAATTTTTGAAACTAACATCTGTTTTTCCACACTTTATTTTCAAAGCATTAAGATCTTCAGTTATAGCAGCAAGTTTGCATTTAATGTGATCATAATTTTCACACTTGTTGCTGTAATCTTCTTGTAATTTCCTAAAATCCTTAGTCTTGGCCTCTAATTGTGCTTTTAAAGGTTTCTGACCTTTCCTTAGAGTATAGCCTTCGTATTTAAGGTCCTCATTTTCCCTTTTTAATAAATCGATTTGATCGCGAAGAAATTTAATCGTAGCTTTACAAGATGGAGTACATAAAACTTCATTTACCGGAATTGATGTGGAACTCATTTCCCTTTTTTTTTATATATATTTTTAATTTTTTTTTTTATATTTTAATTGCCCTTTGACTTAAAAACCAAGAAAGTCAACCTTAAATGTCAAATTTAAAAAGTCAAACTCAAAAGTCAAACTTGAAGTCAAACTTAAAAGTTAAACCGAAAAGCCAAATTTAAAAACTTAAAAGTCAAACGTGAAAGTCAAAATTTAAAGTCAAAGGTCAACTTTTAAAAGTCAAAGATAAAATCAAAATTTGAAAAAAAAAAAAAAAGAATTGGGTTGAAAAAGAATTTTAAAAATAAAAGGAATTAATTTTTTTTGGGCTCATTTGGTCAAATTTCGAAAGTATAAACCAAGAAGCACAAGATATGTTTTAAATTTCAGAGGAGTGACACAAAGAGAAGTCCATATGAGTTGGTCAGGTGCGCTTGTTAATGATCGGGAGGTCCAGGGTTTGATCCTTGGTACCTCAACTTCGTTTCCCTTTTTTATGTGAAGGCTGCTGAGCCAAGTGCGAGCCGAAGACGCTGTGAGCCGCACTCCTTCAACCAGCAGCACACCTTCAACCGGAGCACTTTCAACAGATTCGCGAAAAAAACGACGTTTTTCACCCTTTTTTGCTGTAAAACTCGATCAAAAACTCGTTTTTATGAAAAATGCAAAGAAGTAACCCCCCTTATTTTTGCGAGATCTATCCAAATAAGATCAAATAAGCTCCAGATCTGACAAAATTGACTGATACAATCCAAGCTCTGATACCAATTGTAAGTCCCCAAAATTGCTTGTGTATCAATCAGATCCAATTGATGGCGCGGAATCCCAATCAATTGGATGATGTCAGATCAATATAGAAGAGAAGGAGAAGAAGAAGAAGAAGATGAATGTAATGATGTATTGATGATATTAATTATGCTCCTTTACAATAGATTCTCTCTCACACACACTTCTTCTCTCTAACTTTCTCTCTCTACAAGATGCTCTCTTCTACACAACCGTACACTCACATGCACTCCTCACCCTATATATATGAGACATGGGCCACCAGCTGCACATCAGTGTACAGCTGCACACGCATGTGTGGCCGTACACAGGGTGTGCAGCAGCACACACATGTGTAGCCGTACACAGCCACAAAATTACATATTACATTATAGAAAAATATATTTTTCTAGAAAAGAAAAGTATAAACCAATAATTATTACCCAACAACATCCCTATCGTATGGTCACCAGCTGTCGCTCGCAGTCGATGACCGCTCTGAATCTGCTCAACCAGTCCATACCCACGATGACATAGACATCTCCCATCGCAACCTGGACCAGATCTATCGGGAACTCAACACCGAAGATCTCAAGTACACATCCTGGAATCACCCCAGTGGCATAAACTGCTCGCTCGTCAGCTATGGAAACTCGAAGAGGTCGACTCAACGCCTCTCGATAGATACTGATGTGCTGACTAAATGCTAAAGACACAAAAGATCCGAGTCAAATAACACCAAAGCAGGTACATAACTCACAAGAAAAGTACCTACGCATACCATAATATTAGCACATTATCTCAAACTCAACATAAAATAAATGAAAGAATACATACCAACCACAACGTTGGGCGCTGTACGAACCTCCTCCGCTGTCAACTGGAAGGCTCTCCCGCGAGCCTTTCGGTGCCTCGGCCTTCACTGGATGAATCTCTGAATCTCTAACGGCAGTATGGGCAGATCTCAAGTACACATCTTGGAATCACCTCAGTGGCATAAACTGCTCGCTCGTCAGCTATGGAAACTCGAAGAGGTTGACTCAACGCCTCTCGATAGATACTGATGTGCTGACTAAATCCTAAAGACACAAAAGATCCGAGTCAAATAACACCAAAGCAAGTACATAACTCACAAGAAAAGTACCTACGCATACCATA